CCCCAAAACCCCAAAACCCCAAAACCCCAAAACCCCAAAACCCCGGGGTATAAATACCTGACAGAAATATAGACTTTATTAAAGATGAACTTGAGCAACAGTATTGTAAGCGATATCCAAGAATTGGATAAGATAACCTGTCAAGTATGTAACCAAACTGACCTTTCATCAACCCTCTTTGCATGCAACTTGTGATATAAAGGAACCTTCTGCCATGAATGCGCCCACAAGATGGAGCAGAAAAGCCTAGATTGTCCGAAGTGTTTAAAGAAAATTGACAGAAAGATGGTCTTTGAAACACCCAAAGATTTCGCAGCTATTGCGAACCTTAGAAACAAACTTGACAGATATGGAGCTTGAGATACCCACAATATGTCAGTGGGAGATATGTACTGCTCAAACTGAGATATTGGTATTTGCGAGTACTGCATTATTGATGGAGCACATAGAGAGCACAGCATTGTCTCATTGTCATCCCACCTTGACATTCTGAAGAAAGAAGCTTTACTTCAATATTCCAAACTGAAGATTTCATCCGATAGAAGCAAGAGAGTACTTTCATCAGTGGTTATCCTTCTTGATATGATCAAGTATAAGCTAAACGGGAGAGTTGATCAGCATATTAAAAAAGTATCCGATATTGTAAATCAAAAGCTACGCTGTATAGCTAATGGGTTGATATCGGTTTATTTCAACTACAATTCTCATTCAGAACAACTCGAGCATGACAAAGATACTTATCAAACCCACTTGCAAGATTTAGATTTTTACCTGAAGAGAAAGTTCGATAAAAATAACCACTCCAACCTTAGAGCAGAGGTTAATTTTATTCGTGAGGCAAAGATCTGTGAGAATGAGTATGTTAAGAAGGAATACAACCAAGATGCCACTCTTAAGTCAATCAAACAAGATATATCAAATGAAGCAGAGAATTGTGAGGAGACTATTGGTGTCATCTTCTATGAAATCTCTGAGAAAATCCATGATTTATTAGAAAAGTTTGAAGTATCTGAAACATCTAGAGAGTGCGACAGCGATTCTCAGTCTGAAATATTTAATCAAGATTGGGGAGCTAGTGATAACACAAGGGAAACAGAAGAAGAAGAGCTCCATTCAAAGAACCCTATAGACCTTTTAAATGAAGAGCCAGAGGTCTCTATTAAGGTAGATGAGAATGCAGAGTCTGCTGAGGATACTAAGGTTATTGAAAGTACTGAGCCTGTTAAGGAGTATATACCTATTGGAGATGATGAAAATATGCCAAAATTACTAACTCCTACAAAAGAACTTGAGATTGTATCTTGTGATGAAGAACAAAATAAGATGGAAAGTGCCCCAGTAGAAAATGATAAACCCACAGCAAGTGCAGCTCCTACGGTCAAACCTTACTCTTTCAGATGGGAAGATTACCAAGATCCTTCAAGTGAGGAAGAATATGATGAAGACACCTCCAGTCAGGAAGAAGATAACAGTCATGATGGTTGTTCTGATACAGAAGAAGTTAAACAAACAAGTGAGCCTGTAGATGCTGATAACTCACCAAAAAAAACTCAAGAGACACCACCTGAAAGTTATGAGATACTCCCTACAGAATTTGATAATAATGACATCCTATATTTTACAAAGAGGAGAAGAGATGAATCACCTTGCCTCATTCAAGAAGAAGATAAACATCCAGTTGATGACAATAGCGAAGAGGATCACAAAAAAAATGAGCCCAGAGCATTTAAAGCTTAAGGAGATATTTGGAAAAATTGCTAACTTAAAGCAAAATAATTCGCTAAGCTCCAAAGTACCAGATGAGAACCCAACAAACATCGAGGTCACTAATGACCTATCTCAGAAAGCCCAAAATGAGAGTTCCTTAGAGGATGAAGAAGCCAAACTTGAACAAAAGGAGCAGCTTGCTGACATATCATCTCGAGTAGCAAAATTCGTAAAGAATATTTATGCTTATGATGATTTATATTGTAGAAAAGAACAACAACAGAAACTTCCAGAGGATGTACAAAAAGATGAAGCAGAACTAATAGCTTTGAGAGAAATAGAGGATGTATCCTGTTCTCACATAGTCCTTGATGAGGAATCTGAGTCAGAAAAGAAAATGAAACAGCAAGAAGATCAAAAGGAAGAAACCACAGTAGTTGAGAGTAAGGATAAGAAGTGCATCTTAGACAATCTCAAGCTATCCTCTAGTGTTTATTCCAGGTGCAACGGATCTGACTCAAAAGATGATGATGAAGCTAGCAATCCTCCTCCAGAACAAGTGTATGATTCTGAAGAAAGTTCTGACTAGATCTAACATGAGAGCTTCATGCCAAGGTATGAATTAATTCTTAAATTTTAGTATAAATTTTTCTATTCCACTAAAAGGGGTTTTGGGGTTTTGGGGTTTTGGGGTTTTGGGG